GAGGGAGGGAGCAAGGGAAGAGAGAGAGGGAGGAGGGAGGGAGCAAGGGAAGCGAGAGAGGGAGTAGTGAATTCAGTGAGTAGTGAACAATATCCATGTACATGTACATGTACTTTTTGATTTACATGTACAGTGTACAGTACAGTGATGTGTTGCGAATGGATCGATAAGCAACTCTCCCATTTGAGAGAGACTGTGTTGTACATGTACAGTATGTACATGTAATTATTGTGTATGTAGTTCATCATTAATTTTTTTGTTATTTTCAAGAGTCCAGATAATGGGATTATCTTATTATTATTGTTATTGTTATTTATCTCAGTTTAACTTAGAATGTACATGTACATGTATATCAATTTTCTTTGCATTCATCATGTATTGTATGTACATGTACTCTTCCTGTCCTCCTCCTCTTAGTTCTATCAAAGGATGTGGTATCTTGTGAGGCCAGTCATTCCCTGGCAGTGTGTGTCTTACTGGGTGTCTAGTCTATGACTATTGAGCTATTGGGACAGGTCTGTCCTGAGTCAGTTGGTAAACTCATGCACTCAATATTCAACCGGTTGCAAGGTAAAGATATTTGTCGGAATCAGCTCAAACTTTCTACATAGCATAAGGTCATCAAAATGTATCAAAAAATTTGGGGTGACTTTAGTGGCAATTTTTTAAAGAAGCCATAAGCTAGAGCCTGTGGTATCAAAAATTAGTTGTTTAATAAAATGCTAGTTCCTTGAAAAAGTATTGTATTTTGTCAGAACTGCTTTAATTTTTTTATTCAAAAGTACATTAATATTTGTGTTAGAAAATGTAATAAAATTTTGAGTGTTTTGAAGCTATTGTTTTTACTCAAAAATCAGTCCAAAGTCCCAGTATGATCATAAACAATTATTTCCAAATTGAAAAGAAGAGAAGTCTCTTTTTATACAATTTCCCCCATACATGTATGTACATGTATACTTTTCTTAAGTTCTGTATAAAGTTTGAGCTCATTCTGATCAAAGTTGGTTTTTCCCTCTTCTTAATAACTTTATTATTATTGTAGATGTTTCTTGAATTGGAGGAGACTCTGTTGTTGCTATGGCAAGTTCATTTAGGCTCTGATGAGGACTTTATTAATGGACAATAATTATTATTTGGTTTTATTTATTATTACCATAAATGTTCAAATAAAAGCCCGGGCATTTATTTCTTTCCAGGACAAAAAATTACATAAAATAAAAAAAGGAAAAGTAAAACTGGGATTTGAACCCGAATCTCTACATTCAACGCACTTAGCTTAACAAGTTAGACCATTTGGGACACTCTAATGGTTGTGGTACTTATATTGAGTAAAACAATTATGCTTAACTACCGTATAGGGCATAATGTTCGCGGGACGCAAATTTCGCTGATTTCGTGGATAAAGAAAATCCGTGAAAATAAAATCCGCGAATATAAATTTAATACGGTATCCACA